TAACTCCAGATCTGACACCCTCACACAGGTACACATGCAGGCAAAATACCAATGCACACAAAACACAATTCAATTATTTAAAAAAAAGAATAGAACTACCTTAGATATTCATTCTCTGTAACTATGTCACTTGTATCTATTAAAGGGAACAAAATCATAATCACCACAAATACGTCTCCTCCTGTGTGGTCCTTTCTGACACCCAGACTCACTCTTCTGAGATCGTCACCATATCCTCCCCTCACCATGGAGGAGGAGTCCTTGCTTCTGGCAGGTCCAGGCCCTGGACCTCACCTCCTTTTGCTGTCTCAAAGACTCCCATTCCCTCTATCACCAGCTTTCCCTTCTACATCATGTCTACCATTAAAAATGGAGGGTGAGGAGCAATCTTAACTTGTTCGTCAGTGTCTCCCTTCGATGGGTGTGAAGAACTGCCCACACCTGCCTCCTGTATAGAAATCATCCGACCAGTCAGGAAGCCCAGCCCTGCACCCCAGCCGGGTGTCATCAAGAGGGTATCCGCAAAGCCTTTTCCAGAAGATTCTCTGCTTTTATCTTACTTCCCCCTCAGCTATAACCGGCAGTTCCTGGCTTCTGGGCAACCTTCCAGCCCTCTGGCTGTGCAACACAGCTGTGGTCCTCTTTTAAATTGTCACTGCCTTTCAAGCTACAGCTGTCCAAATCAGTGACTGCAACTTGAGGCTATCAGCCTCAAGAGCTGCAGCCTGGGGGGATTCTGTTCCCTCAGGGACCAACTCTTTCAGAGTTAAGAAGGGAACTTATCTAAATACATTCCCCTAAGTAAGATTCAAAGGTTGAGGTGGGATTCTGCCCATCAGAGAGGCAGAATAGCAAGTTACTCCCCTCCCTTCCTGGGTGCTCTCTCCAGGAGCCCCACGAGTCTCCTCACCCCTTCTTAAAAACCCTTCTCCCCCTGGCTCCTCCCTACCACTTCCTGTCAGCTAGTTGCTGACACAGCCTCCTGACCACAGGTGAATTTTATTTAATCAAACACATCTTTGCATCAATAAACAAATGTTCCAGAGCATAAACAAAAAGTAACACACCTTAAAGTAATATTCTACAACACCCAGCCTTCCTTCCTCTTCCATTTTTATTTCTTCTCATTCCTTGGCTAGCTCCTCTCCCGATCTCTAAATGTTGGCACCTCCCAGAACCTGACACCGGGACCTTTGTGCTCCTGTATCTTTTAAAACGTTATAAATTTGATATCCTTATAAGTACGTGTGTGTGTGATGGGGTGTGGGTGTGCCATAGCACGCATGTAGAGATCAGAGGACAGCTCTCGGGGAATCCGTTCCTCTCCTTCCCTCATGGTTCCAAGGGTTGGACTCAGGTTTTCAGGCTTTCGACCCAATTCCTTTCTCCACAGAGCCTTCTCACTGGCCCTCCATTATTTTCACTGTAAGAAATTCTCCTGAAGATTCCATACCCTCATCCCCGAAGCTCTGGATGAGCTCTTGCAAAGGGTTTTGTAGGTGTGTGATGAGCTAAGGATCTTGTTGATGATGGAGAATTTATCTTGGGTTATCCTTAAATGTACCCACAAGCACCCTTATAAAAGGACAGCAGTTGTTGGGTCTGTGCTTCAGTGGAAGCGCTCTTGTCTAGAATGTACGAGGCCCTGTGACCAGGCCCCAGTCATACAATAAAACAAAATGGTAAAGCAGCGTGTGGTGGCTCATATGCTTAAACCTATCACCTGGGAGCTAGAGGCAAGGGGATCCCTGTTAGTTTGAAGCCAGTTTAGTCTATACAGTGAGTTCCTAGAACAGTCTGAACTACACAGAGAGACCTGGTCAAAAATAAACAACTAAAATGTTAAAATAAATCTAAATATAAGAGAATAAAGTAAAACTTGGATTCCATGAAGACACAAGACACTGCACTCCTAGCTCCAGGGATGGACAAAGGGCCACGGGATGTAAGGCACATTAGCGTAGAAACCATAAAGATGTACCCTCGTGAAGGCTCTCCTGAGGTATCTGACCTTACCAACACCTTGGCATTTATTTCAAACTTGAGAGTTCCAGAGTGGTAGAGGAAGCAGGATCACTACGTTTGCTGTCCCTTTGAAGTCTTACCTACAGTTTATCCATTCATTCCCATGGGTCTGAAGTTCATCTGCATGCTAACAAATTCAAAATGTTCTCTCTAACCTTAACTCTGATTACAGGTCCAAGGTTCCTGTTTGGCAGGGTCATTACAACAGCTCCCTGCACAATGCCAGTCTTCCTTGCCCTGTCCACAGAGCTGTCTGTTGCTATGCTCTTCCGAATCTGATCAGGTCCCTTCCCGGCGAGTCCTCTAACGTCTCCCCATCATACTTTTAATGGCTGCAGACTCTTTGCCCTGGCCTGTGAGGCCCAGGCTGGTGGGGCCCGTGCCCACCTCTCCAGCTCCTCTTTTCCTCCAGCTTTTTACCAATGCTAACCCCCCTCCCCAAGTTCCTGCCCCAGGGCCTTTGCACGTGCTCCCCCCCCTGTGACTTTTATTCTCTGCTCTCTCCAGGATCCCATTCCCCAGATGGCCTTCTCCAGTGTGGCCCCCACTTCTGTTACGACCCTCTCCTCTGCAGCATCAATCATGGGGCAGAATCATTTTGTCTGTTAGCTTCAGTTTTGTCTGCATCTTTGGTGGGCATAGAGGCCCCCTGGAAGTGAGGACTGCGGATCTGCTCTGCTTGTCGCTGCACCCCCAGAGCAGACAGCCGGGCCATGCACAGCAGTTGCTCAGCAGATATTTGTCCAAGGAGTACGTGCGTATGTGCACAGGCAAGGCAGCCTGGCGAGACTGACTGTCTTGACTTCAGGACTGTTTTCATTGCTGAGGATCTTGTAATCAAATGCCAAGGATGTCAAGCAAGCAAACCAGGATTTTTTGGAGGCTGTCTGTAAGACCACACCCTACCTTGGGTCGCTCTGCTGCCAGGAAGGGATAGGGGCAGGGCAGGCTTGGTGTCATTTATTCCCCAAGTGCCCCTTATGATTATCAGAAGGCAATGTCATCCCAAAACAAAGGACACGGGAATCTCTCTCTCTCTCTCTCTCTCTCTCTCTCTCTCTCTCTCTCTCTCTCTCTCTCTCTCTCTCTCTCTCTCTCACACACACACACACACCTACACAGTGGTTCATATCCAAGCCACCACCATCACCTGCCCAGAGAGCGCTGGGTGCCAGGGAGTTGGGAGGGAAGCACCAAGAGAGTGATTGACTCATTCCAGCTAGGGGAGGGGCCGTGAGAGTTCCCAAGGGGCCATTTTCCCTCTTGGATGAGTTGATCCTGACAGGGAGGACAACTGCATTATGACTTATTGGTTCCTTACAAACAGTCATTCCAGCTCTGCCTGCCCCAAACAGACTCATCCTCCCAGTGCCCCCCTAACCTAGGCCATCACTGTCCCATACCACGTGCCTTGAGAGGAATAGACAGAGGAGTGGAGACTGGGGCACTTAACACTCTAGGTGACAGGGGTTCACTCTTTTGACTGTTTGGGTGAAACTAATTAAAGCACGCACGTGTCGCTTTTATTTCCCAACACCTCACAACCATTTGGTGAATGGCTTGGAGGGTGTGGAAGACACCTTCCTGTAAGCAGTAAGACGCTGCTGGGGTAAACTGGGGTGCTGGCCGTGCAGGTGGGGAGCTGTCAGATCTGCCAAGGAGAAGCACAGCAATTCAGACTTAGCTGGGGCAGCCCTCGAGAGTGATGGGAAGGCTAACATTGGAGCACTGGGCTTCTATCTGCGGGCCAGGGCCAATAGCAAGGGTTAGGGAAATGCAGAAGACAGCAGTTGGGGTTGAGGTAAGGGCCGCGAGGTTCACCAGCACAGGGCTGTGGAGGTCTTTGAGGCTGTAGGACTAGTGCCGTGGAGAGGTGCATGCGGGCCTTGGATTCGCCCCCTTAGACCCTGCTGATGGACACAGCCCAGAGAAGGTGCTCACGCCTGGCCCTGGATCATTTAACTGTCTCCTTGTCCACCTCCAGTGAGGAATTCCAAAGCAGCTCTCTGTAGCTCCTGGATCACGCACCCCCGCCAGCTGACACTCCTTTGCAGCCTGGGCCACTGCTTTGGGCCAGAAGACAGAGAAAAGAGCAGAGGGCGGGACCTGAGACCAGTCACACGCTGCTCTCCTCTCTCTCTCCTCCCCCTCCGAACTCTGGAGAGGTCCAGGGCTCCCTCGGTTAGGAATAAAGAATAATGAATGGGTTGGGACCGCAGGTGGCAGGTCCCCAGTCAGCACTGGGACTAAGATGACCGCGGTCCTGTGGCGGGTGATGGATGCTGGGCGGATGGGGAAACAGACACCTGTAGACGTGACTCACATTGAAAGTTTTATTGAAAGGGAGGTAAGAAAATGAGGTAGAGAGACAGAGAGAGGACAGAAAAGAAGAGGGAGGCAGGAACTGCCCCAGGGGAACAGGGGAAAGAGAGCGGAGTGGGCAGGGGTCTGTCTTTTTTAATCATTTTTTATTTTAATTTTAAATAGCTTGTTTTACATGTCAATCCCAGTGGGGTCTGTCTTTTAAAGGGGTCCTTTGCACCTGCGTGCAGACTGCTTAGCCATGGAACCCTGGGCTGACCAGGGTACTGCCTGAGTGCATTCTGCCAGGTGACAAGGGCAGGTCAGCATAGTACCTGAATCCTTAACCCTCTGCATCGTAACTTTCGGTCAACACCGCATGATTGTTTCGACCTTTTTATGGCACAGGCTCTTACAGGACCCTGATTGCACCTTGGAGTGTGGCTGCGGTAGGGCGTTTGTCTAGCGGGCAGCGGTGCACTAGACTTGGGTTCATCTTCAGTATCACACGCCCACACAATGGTGGGCGAGGCTTAGGAAGGGGCCACCTCGTGCTCAGGGGAAGGGTTTGCCAGCAGAAAGGACTGAAAAAAAAAATTCTATGTGTTAAGGGTTGGGAGCGCAGAGCACGGGGATGGGAGGGGCAGGAATGTCCTGAGGGCGAACCTTCATTAGTCCGGACTCCGGGGTCGCGGTGCGGCCGCGCCCACCCCGCCCGCGTAAGCGCGCTTCCGGAAACTGCTCGCTCCTGGGAACCGGGTTTCCCCGTGTAGGTTCCGGAAGACCTCGGTTCTCTGAGCCTAGCGTGCAGTGCAGCCCGGGCTTCTGTGGCCCCTGGGGCCAAGTGCTTTGTTCAGGGCTCGTTGTCGCCCCTGCGCGCGCAGAGAGGCCGAAGTCCTGGTGTCGCGCGCACCGGGGACCCGCGAGGGCTGAGCACAGGGTGCGAGCGTTGCAGCCGGAGCTCCGGAGCTCCGGAGCTCGTGCGCCCCGCGTAGCCTGGGGCATCCCAGGCAGCTGCGGCTCCAGTGCAGTCCCTACGAGGCGGTCGCGCCAGCGACTGCCAAGGCGGTGCCATGCTGGGCCCGTCCGGGAGCCCGGGAAGGGAAAGCGGAAGCCGCGCGCCCGGCCGGTGACCCGGAGGACCCGGCGCCTAACCCCGGCTGCTCGCAGCACCCGCGCCTGCCCTCGGCTGCCAGCCCGGCGGCACCCGGCGCGCCGTGACCATGGCCATCGCCCACTTGGCCACGGAGTACGTGTTCTCGGACTTCTTGCTAAAGGAGCCCACCGAGCCCAAATTCAAGGGGCTGCGGCTGGAGCTAGCGGTGGACAAGATGGTCACATGCATCGCCGTGGGTCTGCCTCTGCTGCTCATCTCGCTGGCCTTCGCTCAGGAGATCTCCATCGGTGAGGCCGGGGGCGCAGGGCCAGTCTGGGCTAGACTGGCATTGTCTGGGGTTGGCAGGGCCTGCGAAGAAATCTCATCGCCCACAACCAGCGTTTCCGCACTCCCCTCCTAATGTAGCCACCCTGGCCATACCGGATTTTGAGTCTGAAGGCTTATTATTTTGCTCATGTGCAATCTGGATACCTCTGTTGGCCCTCCTAAGCATCCTCCCTCCAGTTCCTTTGTCTCCTGCGCCCCATGGCTGTGGCTTGGAGTTCACATCCAGCCTGTTGCCACTAGATGAGCCCAGAATGGCTCTTCCTACTCGTCTCCCCGGCAACTCTGCAGTCACCTAAAATCTCACACCCGCGTGCGTCCAGGGAGGATGTAAAGAGAGGCGCGCCGTGTGCAGTGTGCCGTTTCACTGTCTTGCTTTTCAGTGATGCCTGGGTCCTGCGTTAGGGTTGTGTGCGATACCTAGGGGAGTAATTGCCCTTGGAGGCAGAAGAGGTCCTCCGCCTAGGCCTTGCTTGTGGATCAGAGGTGAAGAAATGACCTGACCCCCTTCATGTAGACTCTCATTTCATCTCACTAGTCACGTGAGATTCTCAACTCCAGTGTTTGGGGGGCGGGATCATGAGGTCATGAGACTTTCACAACCTGAGCGTGTGAGTTGCAGATAAGTAGTGTGGGGGTCCAGAGGCACTTGCAGGTGGGGGGACCAGTGGCACTTGCAGGTGGGGGGACCAGTGGCACTTGCAGGTGGGGCAGGACCTTGCAGAGTGTCTGCGTCAGGGTGGGTGGAGTGTGAATTAGCCCAGATGAGGCGGTTGCCAGAAACTTCACACGAGGGCTACATGCTCTCAGAAGGGAAGCTCAGGGGGCTGTGCCAGCCTAGAGCAAGGGGGCTTGCTGGGGGCTCCAGGAGCTAAGGGTGTACTGGCCTGAGTCAGGTTACTACAGAGAGGCACACGCTCACTCACCTGGGATAGGGGCTGCTGACTGGTTAACAACGGCATCAATAAGTAATAGTGAGGGCACAGAGGTTCTGCATGGAGGAGAGGAGAGGCTGGATCTGGGCTGCCCCACGCTGGGGCATCGGTTGAGGTCTCATGCATGGATGGAGCATGAGTGGAGGAAGGGAGAGGAGGGGTCCTTCCGAGGGGTGAGGGAGGGGTAGGAGGCACCTGGTTCCTAGGTCCTAACAGGTGTGGAGGGAAGAGGGGTCTTACAGAAGCTGTCTGTGCACCTGATCGAGTAGAGGCGCCGGTGGAGTTGAGCAGGCTCGGTCAGGAGAGGGCTTGGCAGGTGTATGTAGTTCTGTGACACGTGTGGCAGAAGTTGCCAGAGCAGCGGTGCAAAGCAAGCTTTCGGCTTTCCTGGTTCTGGGCAGAGATGATCCTGCTGAAAGGAAACCACAGAGTCGCTTGGGGGCTGGTGATAGCCTCCTCCTTGTAGCCATGGGCGGAACCAAGTGCCAGCAGGCATCAGAACCCCGGGAATAGATGTCCCTGTGCTGAAGAAGCAAGTCCTGGTGTGTGAACTCTGCTGTGCTCTGTGGGGGACAGGAAAGGATTCTGAGGCAGGGCTCTCTCTCTGCCTGTGGGAGTTTACCATCCGACTGGATGCTAGTCTGCTGCCAGGTGACATCCTGCTGCTGGTGATTTCCGGTAAGGCAGCGGGAACTCTTGAACACCAGACTGCCTGGCCCTTAGGCGAACACTCAGGCAGAGATGCCCTTGTCTTCTGAGGGGCTCAAGAGTTCCAAGGGGAAGACAGCTGTGTGGGTAACCCAACAGAAGTCTCAGGAGATTAGTGTTCACGATCAGAGATTGATTTTGTGCAGTTTAACTGCGTGGCGTCAAAGGTAAGACACACTCCCCTGCCAAAGAGAGGAGTGTGAATGAACATTGTAATAATTGTAACAACCCCAGTGTGCTGGCTAGTTTATGAAAACTTGACACAAGCTACAGTCATTGGGAAGAGGGACCCTTGACTGAGGAAATGCCCCAACCAGACTGATGATTGATGGGTGAGTGGTCCTGGGATAAATAAGAAACGAGGCTGAGAAAGCCAGGCGGAGCAAGGCAGTGAGCAGCTTCCCCCATGGCTTCCGCTTCAGTTCCTGCCTCCAGGAGCCTGCATTGATTCCCTGCCCTGACTGCCCTTGGTGATGGGGGGGTGACAACAGAGCTGTAAGTTGAGATGATCCCTTTTATCCCCAAGTTATCTTTGGTCACGGTGTTTATCCCAGCAATGGAAACCTTCGATAAGACAACCAAAGATGGTGGAACCTTTTAAATGAAGCAGACAGTTTGCCCACCACACTATCAGGGAGGACACCCCAGGAGTCCTAGCCTTACTCCTCCCTCCCTCCCTCTCTGTTGTCTGGAATATTTCTGTCACATAGCCTGCCCATGCTAGATATTTAGTCTTTACTGACCAGCTCCCAAGGGCTACAGAGTGTGCCATGATCGGAGCTGACTCGGGTAGCCTTTGCAGATGCCTGGGGCTGGGGCCGCTCCCTGGCCCTAACTGACCCTCCAGTGGGGATGACTACAGACACAGTCCTCCTGGAACGAGCTGCTCAGGGATGCCCTTAACTTCCAAGCCCTGGCTCACAGTTTGAAGAGTTTAGTCAGGGAAGTACGCGTGGTTGGACGGAATACGAGGATTCAAAACTCCCGCTAGGCAGCGGCTGTGGTTAGTGCTAATGCTTCCACCCAGCAGAGAAGGCAGTCGGAATGGATGGTGACCTGGGATGGGGAAGGGAGAGTTGGCGCCACGGGTTCTGCCAGCCCTCACCCTGCCGGCCTCTCACCTAGCTTTCAGTCTCCTGTGCGGTGTGCGCCGGATATTGTTAAAGCAGGCTCCGCCCTGTTTCCTGTCTGCTCTGATTTTCAGCCCGCTGAGATGTCAGCCAATGCCTGCTTGCCATGCCTCTCCTACCGGGAGGGGTGCGCCTGTCCGCCAAAACAATCCCCTTCCTTCGGTAGCTGCAGACAGCTGATGCTGCGTGTGCGAGCATGGACTAGTACCGAGCTCCCCAATCACAGCACACCTTCAGCTCACACTCAGAACCAGAGAGCCGGGGAGAGGGCGTGGAGGTTCGGGGAGGCCCCCTTGCACAGGCGTTTGACCTCGTCTGTGTTTCTAGAGGAGACGCAGTAAATTCACAGGCCCTCTTCTCCCTCTGCACACACACGTTTACGTCCTTGTTAGACGGCTCAGCTGGCTATGCCACAGTAACCCATTTCCTCTACTTAGTACATTTTGGGGTACTTTTTACGTCATAGCACAAGTGTCTCGTCGCTGGGCTTTTCACTAGTGTTGTTCAGTTTGCTTACCTGTATGTATTGTGTCTATGTGCATGTGTAGGCACAGGTGTGCCACACCACATGTAGGAGTGTTGTTAGGAGGACAACTTGCAAAAGGGGTTTCTCGCCTTCTTTCTTGAGGCATCAGGCTTGGGAAGTAAGTGCCTTCACCCTCTGAACCATTTCACCCCTCGCTGGCTTCTAAGTGGCAGAGTGAACCCTGTAGCACAGTGTAGTCCAACCACACATCAGCTGGGCTGACCCCTGTACAGACCCCAAAATCCCTTTCAGTTTCAGCTCTGACACGTGCAGCTTGCTTGTAATAATCCCCACAGACATTTCCCTTCTCCTCTCACTGAGGGAAGGATGAGAACAGTATCTGTTTCCAGAAAGATGAACTCATCTCCCAGAATGAGTTTGCATTCCTAAGTTTGTGTTTTCAGCCAAGTGTAAGAAGACACGCCTTGGGGCCTGTCTAGGCTTGACTCCTGCAAATTCAACTGTCAGGTACCCTGATCTCCATATGAATACAGAAGCACACTCCCCCCAACACAACACAGATAAATAAATGAATGTGCAAATCTTTTTATTTATTTATTTTTTTGGTTTTTCGAGACAGGGTTTCTTTGTATTGTTTTGGAGGCTGTCCTGGAACTCGCTCTGTAGACCAGGCTGACCTCGAACTCACAGAGATCCACCTGCCTCTGCCTCCCGAGTGCTGGGATTAGTACAAATCTTTTAAAAAGAAACCTGTTTTATTCTTTCATGTGTTTATTCTATTACTAGAATGCTATCTCACCCTTGTCGCAGGTGACTATATGTTTGTTTTCCTTTCCTGACCATCTTCAGTGGTTTTATTGCACACTCAGCCACTTGGTCTGTTTTGTTCTTTCAATAAGATATCAAGACTGTTATTGATACCTCCCCACTGTTGCTTACTGGGAAACCTAGGGGTGCTGGCTGGTTTTATGCACATCAGTGGTCTGGTGTGGGAGTCAGGGCTACGATTGCTGGGATGAAACCCTATGACCAAGGCAACCTAACCTCGCCATCACTGGTCATCACTGAAGGAAGTCAGGACAGGAACTCAAACAGAGCAGGATCCCGGAGACAGGAGCTGATGCAGAGGCCATGGAGGGGTGCTGCTTACTGGCTTGCTCAACCTGCTTTCTTATAGAACCCAGGAGGATGAGAAGCCCAGGGATGGCCCCACCTACAAAGGGCTGGACTTCCTGACATCAATCATTAATGTAAAAAATGCCCTATAGGCTTACTCACAGCCTGATTTTGTGAAGGCATTTTCTCAGTTGAAGCTCCGTCCCCTCCAATGACTCTAGCTTCTAAGACTACCGTGACTGTTGAGGCTCCATGTCCTCAGCATCTCAGATGTGACTTGGCTGTCATCGCAAAGTTAAATTCTGACGTACATTCACCCCCTAACTTAAGAACCCTGACTTAAACAGTTCTCTCAAGAAAATACAGTGTCCGTGTTAGCAGGTGAAGATTCTGACGGAAACGGCGTGCAGTCAGTATGTGGCCTTCTGCTGCTGCTGGTGCCAGTGTGGTCTGACTGCCCCACGGTGTCCTGACTGTCAGCCCCAGCAGGCGGGTTCCACTGCCATGCATGCTGTAGTGGCAGCTCTAGACTCGTCCTGGGGAGATGGTCGCAGGTTTGTTCCCCCCCATTTACAGGGCTGACCCCT